CTGAAACGTGTAGGACAAATAAAACTGCCCAGTGGACGCAGCTACATGTAATGATACTCCCCAATGGTTCAGCTTCCCATATGGAAACCAGCCTTGCCTCAATATGCTGAAACATGAACTGCTGGCGCTGCGCCCATGCGAGAGAGGCGATGGTACATTGTTTGGCTGGACAGGACAGCAGAAACATCTCAGTTAATCACAGTGGACAAGGCTTTACTCTATGTTTGTGTAATGCCTAGGACAATGTCATCTTGATGCTGACTGCAGCTTCCAGGCATGGTTATAGTAGATATATAAATAATTTTTATATATTATATATAATATAGACATGTAAATACTTTTTTATATATATATATATTTATATATACAATCAATTTGAGGAGAACCAGCAGCTTTTTATGTTTGCTTTCCATGAACAATCGACCCATTGACCTTTACTAACATGATGCAGTTGAGAAATGTAACATAAGTGCCATGTTTAGCAAGGGAATTCTGAACAAGATAAATCTGAATCTGAGCCTGGTTGTACTCTCAGGTCACGTCCACAGCGTGCGTCACTGGCCCATGAGATGGGGATGTATTTTCCGATGCTGTGTTTTACTCAGAAGCATTTTGTTCATATAAAATGAAATTAAGTCTGAGGAATAAGTGTTTTGTGATGAATTATTCACCTTCAGAAAGTGGTAGCATTTAGCTGCTATATTTTATTGACCTATATAGCACTTCTCACAGGTCCCAAAACACACTGTGGTATTACAAATTAGGGGTCTCTGCAGATGCTCCTAAAATACTGCTAGAAAATGTCACCTACAAGGATATAATATCATTCATCACCAAAATGAATGTGCCATCTGAGGTGTAAACTAGCAGCTCTTTTAAGAGTAACATGAAAACAACTGCTTAAGGAAGTAGGATGCCATTTCTCTCAGAGTCGTGTCCTATTTTAGGTGGCCAGATCTAATTTGTTTTATTAGAAAGTGGCATTAGTCTGGCATTTTACCAGCCATGCTATGAATGTACCAGTCATTTTCATCAATAAAGTACGCTTGGGATCTAGTGCTTTTTAAAGAAACACTATAATACCTCCTAAAACTTTTTTTAATGTGGTAGGATGTTTTTTAAAGAAAAGGGAGGCCAGACATGTCACTCATTATTTGATCTTTCAATTGACATTAAACACTTAATTCCATTTTGTTCCTTGGGAAAAACATCTCATTTTTGGGCCAGCACCAACTAAAGCAGTATGTTATCTGTCTGTCCTCCTTATGCCAGTTAGCAAGTTCTGAGTCACAGTGAGGCAACCAAGTGGCAGTTTGCTAGAGATCTCCTCCAAGGAACAACAATATCATAATTTCTATGTATACAAGCATATGCATAATGCTTATTATACATGGGCATATCAAATGATTTAAAGTGTGGCTGTTTTTAAAAATAGCATCTTATTGCTTATTAATCATCATCCTTGGAAGTTCCTTCATCAATTTACAGGACCTCTTCTGCTGTGAATGCCAGCAATAAAGATTTCACAAGCTGGGATGATGAAGACAAACATTAAATGTTCTTTACAACTACATTGATTTAAAAAAAATAAATCCTCATGGAGTCACAAGAACTCTGTCTGCAATCACCCTGCTTATCCAGCAATTAAACCTTATGATGCCCTGGAAGAGTGCTTGTATAGAGCTGTAAGCCAGACGGGAAGCTGAGAACTTGAAGTCTGTCCTTCTGGAAGCTGGCTGGCTGTCACCGCGCCCTGCCCGCTGGCTGCACCCGCGGCGGGTGGGATGCTGCCAGCAGGACACCTCCCTCCCACGGCTCTGAACGTGGCTCCTTCCACGGCTGGCACACTACAGCCACCATCACGAGCCAGTCTAGCTAATCAAACTAGGTCGTGTCCTAGAGTGTAAATCCATGTCCTGTGTCTCAAACACCCTCTTGTGCTAATTGCGCTCCCCTTAGGACAGGCGACAGGTTTTTTCCACATCTGACATGCTGCAGCCCCTAATGCGATATAATCTAATTAAAACAGAGGCTTGACTAGAATGATCTCCATTTTATACCAACTAGAAACTAGATTCCTTAATGAAATCCCTTTAAAGGAACTTTCATAGTTTTCTCATGTCACCCAGTACACACTGAGGCAGGGTTTGGGGAGCTTTGTGTCAGTTCTGTATAATATAGACAGGATGTATTTAGTGAAGCAACTGCTTCCTTCCATGATTACTGAATCATACTGTATTTGTACAGGGCTCTGCAAAATTTCAGCCAAAGCACCGAGGTATCTAAGCTGTACAGCACCACAATGCCTAGGGAGGATGCAGGCAATTCTTTTTAACCCCAAAAACATGTTTGAAGACTCTTGAGAGCGCTTACCTGTACACAGTGTTTTCTCTATGTAGGTCTTCTAAGCCACAAAGAATCTCTGCTGCATAAAACAAAGCTCTTTCCTCCTCAAAGCCTGGGTTTCCCATGTTGTAGATATGAAACTTCAGGTCACCTCCATTCATTATGGTCAGAACTAAACACAGTGCATCCTTTGTTTCATAGGCGTAGGCTAAATTGACCTAGAATAACATTTGTAGCATAGTCATAGATCAGTTAGCTGCTGAGAAGAAAGCACTAACTTATCATTAAAGATTTGCTCTTGAAAAGGAAAAAAATACATTGACTGAATTTGATACGGGCCTTATTACAACAGCAAACATACATTTTAAAAGTACAGAAAAAATCAGATGTTAGGATTTTATAGATTAATTTGTTGAATCCAGCCTACTCAACATCAGAAACTCTGAAGGTTAATGCTCAGATAGCTTCGCAGGCTGGACACACTAAATCCAGACATACTTTTCCACATATGAGAAATCTTAATAGTCAAGGGAATCTACACCGCCTGCTGCACTGTTTTGCTGAATAGCTGTCAAAACCCCATCATCTCAGTAGGTTCCCAGGAAGGAACAGATAGCCCAGTCCTGCTGTGGTCAAATGGACCATCAGTGAGGCATGAAGACCAGCATCACCCCTGCAAGGCTCTGGTGGGTAATCAGACAAGCCAAAAGCTACCCATCACTGTTAAATATGTGCCATTGTCTTTGCTGCTGCCAGAGGTAAGTAAACATCTTGCATCTGTCGTGTTCACAGTGATTCCTAAAATAAGTCTAAAGAACACGACAGATGCTGAGACAATGACACCTTTTAAAAAAAAAATCTAAGGGAAGTTTTTAAGTAGACATGAGAGCTGGCAGATCTCAGGGAAGCCCTACATCAGGCAGACCAGCTCCATGTCACTGGCTAGATGCTCCTACTAGCCAATCTTCTGATCTATTTGGGTTGAATCTCCTTCAGTCTCCTGCAAGCTCCTCTCTCCCAAACACTGGGAACTCAGGTAATCATGCTGGATAAAAATAGCTCAGCCTGATGCAGCCCTGATGCAAGTCAAGGCTGTAAAATGCATCACGTTCCCGTGGCAGAAACAGGCACCTTGTCTGGTGCATTTCTCACCGATCAGAGACTAAAATGAGACTCGGCAAAGGTGCACGGAGCAGGACTGAGGTGCAGAGCAAAAGGATTCAGTTTCTGGCACCTTTCCTGTGGCAGGAGTTGGAGGAGACATCAGATTGAACAAGAGACAGTGCTCAGCAGGTGAGCAGGGAGCGGAGCGCCGGGGAGTTCAATACTCACTACAAACTGACTATTGACTTTTTCTAAAATCTGCTTTTCATTTAGTGCCATGGATTCGCCTTTCCTCTTTTTTATTCTCTTCTTCTCTAATCTCTTGCAGGCGTACATCTTCCCTGTCGCTCGGACTTGGCAAGCGCAGACCTGCGAATTAAAGAGAACAATTGCTGGGTAAATCGAAGCAAACGCTGCGTCTGGGCTGCACTTTATTCCTGATGATCTGATCTGATTTAGTCCTTTTAAGGTTAGAGACGGCGGCGTAGCGAATAAGGCATAGGCGGGGGCAGCTGGGGAACCAACTACTGTTTCCAAACCTGCTGTGGAATATTGGTTTAATTATTTCACTTTCCTCCGCCTGCTTCCTATCCCACCTCCTTTTGTCTGTGCAGATTTTAATCTGCTCAGCTAAAGCCTGTCCCTGCCTCCTCCGACTCTGCTGCCTGCCCAGGGACCTCGAGTCATCAGTAACATACAAATAAGGGTGTGACCCTAATTCCACTGTGAATGCAACAGTCGAACACAAAATAATTGTTCAAAAGTGTTCTTTTGAGATTACGGTGTCACGAGAGGTTAAGTAAAATTGTCAGCAATTAATGAACATCAGCTTCTGTTGCATCAGGCTCCTGTAACCTTCAGTGCCTGAGAAGTAAGAAACACCCTTAACAGAAACTTTTAGAATTACTCACCTCCCCAAAGCCACCTTTCCCCAGTACCCTGTACTGCCGAAACGTGTTTTTCGTTACTGGTTGCCTGGAAGAAAAGGAAATTAAAAAAAAACCTCAACAAAACACGCTACATTTAATGCACTCTCTGTGATTTATTTATTTCAGAGCATATTTTTGAAAAGCAAAATAGATAAATATTATATAATCACATTATTTCAAGGTAATCATATTATATAATATAATATATAATTATGTAATTACATTACTTCAATACTATGTATGGCTTGAACTTTTCAATTCCAACATATTAAGCTGTAATAAAATACAACACATTAGTGAGTCATCAGTATAATTTCTGCGAGCATCTTAGGGCCAAGGAGGGTTCCAAATCTCCATTATATAGTTTTGGCCCTTGTTAAGCAAAAAGGAGACCTGAGAGCTTCCAACAAAATATGAATTCTCATGACATACAGGAATTTTTGAAGGGTAGTGCTGGGCTAACACTTTATTGCTTTGCTTGCTCTTCAAGATGAGAAAAAGAGATCCAAAATTCAATCCACCAGAAAATATTTCTGGTTTCTTGATCTTAAACAAAACAGGAAACTGATATGAAACAAGGAAAGAAACAATCCCAGGAAAAGGAGAGGTGGGTTTAGGTGCTGTTTGCAGGAGGGGAGAGCAGGAAGCTGGGCTCCAAGCCCTGGGTACCGGCCTCCTGGGAGAGCATCACGGGCAAGAAGTGAGCAAACACATCTCTTTCCTTTTAAGGGCCAAATTAAGGCTTAAATAAGTCTGTCTTTCTGAGGACAGAGTGCTCCCCGACGATCACTAGACACAGTCACTATGCGATCCCACAGGATACCCACAAAATTCTGCTGTACCAAAACGGCTCCAGCCCTACATCTAACTACATTTGTTATCATCAAAGTTTTATAGCGTAACAGAAGAACTCTAGATTTGGAGAGATCCAATTTTGTATCCACCGCTCCATCACCGAAGTTTTACAATTATATTAGCAGTGGATATGAATATTCCTACCAGCTTTGTTTTCCTCTGGCGGGCAGCCAGTCGGCAGAGGGAGCACAATAATGTGGCTGTTCCCACAACAGTGGTGATGAGGTTGATGACAATAAGGAATAAACGTTAAAGTGAATAGTTTCATTTATGTTCATTCTTGGTTTTAAAAGTGGGGGGAAGAAAAATACGCAGGAGGACAAAACTAGAAGAGGAAAAAAAGATGCTATTTTCAGGTTTCTGTAAAAATACTGCAAATGGGGTTAAATCAACAATTAGCAGTGATAACTACACGCTCAGCAATGTCCCTGGAATAAATGGACTGTTTGACTCCTCCGTTGGCGCCAGTCAACTGTCAGAAGGAGCTGTTGATCACTCCGTGCTACTAACACATCTTTGCTAATCCTAAAAACAATTTTCCCAGCTTCTGAAGCCAGACAGGCACATCCAATAGCTTGTCACGTTTGTTGGGGAAATGGAAAAAAAACAAAACCAAACCAAATCCTCAAAGCATTTGAGAAAATTCCTTATCCCAAATGTGAAAATAGATAGGAAACAGCCTGGCTAGAGATGAATCATCTGATGGTTTTTTAATTGGAATGAAGAGTAAATGCTGGATTCAGTAACGATGGCATGTGGAGCATGTCTTGGCATGAAATGGCTCTCTCTCCTCTGCCCATTGCTTCCCTTCCCTCTCTTGTGCAGCAGCTTTGTAGCTTTCCAGGGAGAGGAACTGGCACAGCTCCTTTGATCTCCGAGGCATCACGCTGATGCACGCCGCTGATGGATCTGGCCCTAACTCATCTGGTGTAATTAATTCCATTTGTGGAAACTGGGGCTTCTTTCAACTCAAGGTCAGTGTTACCCAGCAGTGCACGTCTGCTACAGCCCTCACCAACAAGGAGAAGGCAAAGGCCCCTTTCCTTGCAAATTAATACCACTAAGGCTGATTGGTTATTAAATGTGCTCAGAAATGTATAGCAAGTAAATATGATGCGAGGACTTATACGTCATATTTTTGTCTGTTTACAGTGATTTCATAATTGTAATAACTGGTCCAGACAAAAAAGTTACCATATTCAGAGTGTAGCTAAACAGAAGGACAATTAAAAGTGCTGAATGTATTTTAATCATTCCATTAAACAGCCAAACACTTGAGCTTTAGAAGCCAAAAAACCTGTCTCCCTGGTGTTTTGGGGTGGATTTCTGGTTTATTCTTTACTTCCCTAGTGAGCAGCATCTGTTTCACTTTTGCTTGGGCACAGTGTTTGCAAATACAAAAGCCAGAGGCTGGATGTGTATCCTGCGTTTAGCGTTCTAGGTGCACAAGGGTAGGTTATAAAAAAGTGCAATGTGTCCTTCAAGCTGCGCCATGAGTAGCTCGTTGTGACAGTGCCTACAATAAAATTGGCCACAGACATTTCTCAGATTGA